GACCCCCACGCCAAAAAAAATCCAAGGGTCTTAGCGAGCACCAACTCTTATCCAAAATTTTAAGAACAAATTTTGCTACCATAAGTTCCTTCCAAAGTCACATTTTGACCAATATTGACGCATTGGACATGTTCCCCCCTCACTCCCTTGGGTGGGATTATACAGAAAGTACTAATCAGAAAATGAAATGAACAACTAAAAATACAACAGAGTTACTTCTCTTCTGATTGCTTACCCTTTTTCCGTAATTACAGATTTCTGCCAAAACTTTAAAACATCCCAAAGTGTACCCAAAACTTAAAGTTTACAAACTAATATCATCCTGTACCAGTTGAAACCCACCGAAATCGCCAAAGCCAATATTCTCATCAAGAACTTTATCTTGACCATCATGATAGAGGTAACAAGCTTGACTTTACAAAGCAAACTAAAGAAAGATTGCTAAATTTAGTTGGCCAATCTTCCATTAGAGAAAAAGTAATAACATAACATGTTTAAGCTACATGTCAATAGATCGTTCATCAGAAAGTTCTCGTATATAAATAAATATAGCATGAAAAATTTAGGACATCTAAAAAGTTTTTGTATGCAAAAAGAATATAGCATGAAAAACAATAAGCGTCTAAAAACTTTCTCGTTTGTATAGCACAACTATTTACACATCTAAAACCAGTAATTTCATTAGGTATTACGCCATTAATAGCCTAGTTAACTTGCTTATTGTTAAAAGGCCAGAGAAATTTTAGCTGCTCATGAAAGATATTTCAATTTTGATTAATTAAATAGTAGTTCTTGGTATCCAGAGTCTATATGTAAAAAAACCCTATATGGCATTTACAAATACAATTTGTATTAACGACGACCAAAATTAAGAATGCCAAAATGTTTAAAAGTGAATTATTTAGTCGCTGTCCCTTAAGATAATAACATAATATGACTTTCAACAAAAATTGTTTAACATCAATGGAAATTTAGTAATTTTTTTAGAATTATAGTATCACATTAAAAGGTTGAGTCTGTGGGACCGATGTGGCACACAAATCAGTTTCAACGGTAAACATCTTCAGGGGATAATATAATAGAATTGAACAAGTATGATACTAAAAATCAGCAGATCAGTGTCTATATCCATAATGAAGAATAATCAGCAGAGAATGGTATGACAAGTATTACTGGGAATAGGCTATAAACATGCTGCAAACTCTTATCTGAATGCACAGTCAAGAAAGTAACGTTCATAGCTAAACACAGTCCTACTAAATCTCACAGCAAGATGTCCAAATCCATACTCGGTTTTAGTTACAACCTAACGAAGAATTCAAGATAAAATATCTAAACCTTAATATCTAAAAACAAATCTCATTTCCACAAATACAAAAAATCAAGATGCTAACATTTTACATGTAAGCCTCCGGTAAAATCCAATTGCAAACCCTGATATTACTTCTTTATCCTAAAAACTATGAATACGAATTTTCAAGACCCACCAGGCCATTTCGTCCAAAGGTATAATGACCTTCTGCACAATGGTCTCACATGCAATCATGTTCTCAGGTTAACATGCATTTATGGATGTGTAGATACAAGAACTATGAAAGACTGCCAATTACCAGGAAGAGCCTTTAAAGCACGCTGAAAAATTTTGGCTGCAGAATCCAGAGACCCATTCTTTGCATGCCACGTAGCATAATCATACCATATATCAGGGTAATGGTAGAGGTACATCAAACACTGCATCATAAGAAAGAATAGGACACAAGAAAGTAGAAATGAGCAGAGGTCCAAGAAGAAGAAAAAGATGAGTGAATGACAAAGTCCACCCTTGATGGGAAAAGGCCCCAATAAAGAATCATCATGAAAGAAAGGTGAGGAACAAGTTATGAGATACATTTATAAGAAAACTTAAAATCTTTTAAGAAATTAAATAATTTAAGAGCAATAAGCTAGAGCATATGCTTTAAGATAAGGAAAATATATTGATACAACAATGAGATAATAGGAAACAATTAACTTTGTGCATGGAAGAATAAGGAACCATAGTCCAAAATGAGAACAATATTATGTGGTACCTGCTCATAGGTGAAGGTAATGCGTCTATTGGCGAATGCACTTTCAATCCTTTGCGTGTTAGCTCTAGACAAGAAAACGACCGTTTAGTTGAAATATACAGGTAGTAAAGTGACATAATGAAAGGATTAATTTATATGTAATATGTTCTCAAATTAATTCATTTTTTCATCTATACAATTTGTTAGACATAGAGATGTTTTTGACTGACTACTGGCGCGGAAGGCTAACGTATATGTTTTTGTATTCTGGTGAGGAAGAAAGGGGGGAGTAGGCCGGTTGTTAACTCCGATAATACACCCTGGTAAGCAACCTTCTCATATGTCTAAGCTTCTTATTTAATATCATAAAACAAGAAAAAGAGACCCCAGTACTTGCACATATAATACCTACATAGACAATATGTACATACTTAAGGTAATGCCTGAACAATCACAATGAAAAATTCAACATGAAGGTAACTGGGGATGATTGCAGTTATTAGCACTATTTTGCTGAACAGAATGCCTTCAAAATAACTTGTCAAAATCAGATTACAGTGACGAGTAAAAGGGCTCTAGATATTCAAAAGGCCAAATACAACATGCAATCAATGTTGTTGACAGTTCTCAAAGAAGCATATAAAGATGCCTACTTACTTTTCAAAGGCCAAATATCTCTTCCATGCCATCCATTGCTGCTCCTCCTACAGAAACTTCAAAGATAATAATAAGTTATATCAATCAATTGAAAACATGATTTAAATCATGAATTAGAAACCAACTATAACCTAGATTTGAGACCTGCAATTTAACTTAAGTGATTAGATAAGTAAGATATTGCATTAAGCAAAAAAAAATTGGTTCCAGCCGACACTTTTTGATGTCCAAAGTTCCCAATCATATTAACTATTAATGACTAAGCAGTCAGCATTTTTTTGAACCTGGACTATTAAGTTGAGCAATTTGAAACATACAAAAAAATCTCCATTGCTAACACAAAGTAGCATACTAGATTTCTTAGACCTCAGAATGGTATCTCGATACAAACAGTATATGACTGAAAATCTATAGGTAAACAAAGTCACAATGCACAAAAATAGTATGCAGTACTAAGTGCTGGAGTAGGGAACTACAGGCAATGCCTTACCTTGCAGGATCCTGTTGGTGGAATGGCCAGCATATTCCAGTCAATTTCATCTACATATTTTTTCAGTTCTCTGTAAACAGCCCTCGCACTATTAACTTTGGGTTGCCATTCAGATAATAAACCTTTTGCCTGGTAGAAAAAATTATGATCAATTCTCAGAGATTCTATACAGAAGTTTGAAGGACATATTGAAGGACTATATATTTATGTCACACTGTTAAGAGCAACTGAAAGAAGTACACCTACTTAAAACCTAGTGTTCATGTGCTAGAACCTCTAAATTTCCAGATAAGTGTTTTATTGAAGCTCATAAAAATATAAAGAAAAATATCAACAACCACCAGAGTAATTCATTTGTAATTCAACCCCTAAGTTATGTCATAATTCTGAGGATTAAAAGTCAAATTACCAGAGCACGACTAACTGAGTTCTCAAAATTCTCATAGTCTTTCCATAGCTGCTCGACATGATGGGTTGGAGTAATAATTGCTCTTTGGTACACTTTCCTTACAGATGTCATCCTGTGCGACTCTTCTTGAGCAGTCGAAACCTGCACAATTTTTTTTGCAAATATACGACTCATACATGAACTAAAAGTATCCATGTGTATAAAAAGTTCATCATGGACATTATCACAAGTGCAATATTTAAAAATAAAACAGAAAGTATAAAGACATAATGTCATTAACAAACCGGCATTGACTTCAGAAAGGCAATGTATTCCATCCATACAGGTCCTGATGCAATGTCAGTGCCTGATGAATAAGCATTTGTCAGCTGCTAAATTTATTCAGATAGTTCCAAAAATGTATAAAGAACTAAATCAACAAAGTAGTGTACTGTTCCATAGTAATAAGATAATAAGTGAAGACTTGAAGGTCTCAAATATAGCTCAACATATTTAGTCGTAGAGTAGCTAGAGGTGGGCAAGGAAAGGCTATGAATAATTTGGGTATTAGTACCAAAAACCAACCATTAATCTTTCAAGTGGGGAGTAAAAGGAAAACATAGCATCACATGCACTGAGGCTTCAAAGTGAAATTTTTGATTATAATCAGTCAAATATCCTGTGAACCGTGATGCAGGAATAGTTTAATAACAAATTCACTAATTTCAAATATCCAGCAATAATTCTAAAAAGAAACTGGGTTTTTTAGCATGTCAGTTGTTTTAGTACCTTGAGATATCAGTTAAACGATAAGCAGATTAAACTTCAGCTATTATTCTCCATGGTCATGATATTTGTGTGCAAGCAGGGTGGGGGTGCAGGTGAATGGGTGGTAGGGGTGGGGGGGATGAGGGTGAGTGTGTGGGTGCCTCTGTGGTGTGTGTGCTCATTCTCATTAACTAGGCCATACAAACATCATATTGCAGTCTTCTTTGATAAAAAAGATTGTCAGGAAAAAAATAGAACTCTAAACTTCCAAAAAATAATATCTTCAATTTAAAAATAATTGAATAAATTCAAGTTTCTAGACACTCGTGCATACCAACATAGCTCAGCATAAAATCAAAAGCTTTCTTTGTTTCCTCCAAACCTTCAGCTCCTTTCTTTTCATTGCTTTTCCTAATGAAGCGGATGTAACATTGCCTGCAAGTTGAACAAAAGAAAGAATAAGCATTTTTAAAAAAGAAAAAATTACAATACAGCACAATAAATGAAATGTTTATTCCAGGACAACAATACAACAGCTGTTGCATGGGATAATATAGCAGTAAATATTTTATTTCAAATATTATATAATCCATGTTCATCAGTTTTCCTCATGAAGTGCATGTAGCATCTCCTACATGTTGAATAATAGCAAGAGCAAATTATTCAAAAGTCCAATATAAATATAACGAAGAAAATATGCATTGCAGAACCAATATGACGCCTTTTGCACTGAAGAAGAAAGCTGCAAGTGTTTTATTCTCAAATTACATATTACATAGTAATACTCAGCTTGATGTATCAGGGGTCAAATTGAGAGTCTATCTGTAAGGTATATAATAATGTACAAAGTGACTGCAAAAGTAAACGTATAATTGTTCAGCTCAGAAAATAAGTATAGCAACATGTACTGAATTATAGAGGCTTAGTCAAAATGATTGCCTAACCTCAGCCGACCTCAAGGCACAAACAGGAGTTCAGATGGAGCAGAACTTCTGTTATCACCAAGAATGAAAATTCAGAGACAAAAATAAGCAGAAAGTAAGTCTTACCAAAGAGAGATTTGAAGGCAATTCAGTAAACACCGACTGAATATTTGCTTTGTAGCCTCATCGTTGTTTAGAGCCATGTACGCCTCCACATACTGTTTCCAGTATTTTGCCTACCAAATGAGAGTGGAAATTCAGCCACAGAGTGCTCCATCATGTAGAGAAACTTTGTGATATCACACATCAAAATAGATGATAATTTTTGCATACACCAACACTAAGAATAACATCCACAAAAAGTGCATATAACCAAATAATGCAGGCATCAGTGTCACAAGCTAGAAAATAATTATATGCAAAGAAATGGTGAACATAAATTGACCATAAAGTCATCTGATGTATTGCTGTATTGTTTTTTTGTGCCCTAACTCAATTTAGTCTGGGTACATATGCAGTTGTTAACTTGATTTACACCCAAGTGGACAAAACCTGTATCTTTCTAAACACAGTCTTTAGACTCTTTACAATGATGTATTTAAGTGTATTGTAAAATAAAAAATTCCCGGTCTTCCCCTTCTACTAAAAATATGCCTGCTTCAGGTGTATACTATTATTACAAGTTCCCGATTTGCCCTTCTTCCAAAAGTACACACATCTTCAGCTGTATATTGTAATTATGAAATTCCAAGTATGTCCTTTTGATAAGAGAGAGGACTCTTCACCCTTTGTCTTCTATCTATTTAGTGCTCAAAACATAACTTTAGTTTTGGAAGAAAAAAAAAGATCTTCATAATATAGGTATTTGAAGTCTCCACAGTAAATGATAAGGCTAGAGTACAGTTGGTGTAACACAGAAGTGCCAACCAAGTAGCACCTTTAATATTGTCGTTATGTTAAATAATATTTTATAGATTAGGTTAATCAGATAATTCCAAAATATCTATAACATATTTGTTATCTCGGAGTTTCCTTAAAATTTACTATTTGATTTGTAGCAATGATATCCACATAAGATGTTTTATACGGAAAGGAGAAGTATATTCCACGTTTTAAAGGATTGATTATCATTACTCTCTTTGTTTGTATTATCTTCATTATCATCATTATCATAACTAGGATAATAATACTATTGTTATTATCTTTATCACTATCACCATCATTCTTGTTATCATTATAGTAATTCCTAATTTCCTATTGTTATATCCTGTAACACTGGATTTAAGTTAATTATTGCACATTAACTCAAACTTAGAGTAAGTTGAATAGCTACTCCACCATAAATGAAAAATCTAGAGTGTAATTTGAAGTTATAAGAAGATATACAGTTATAACAGAAAGCAGTGAGCAATGTGGTCGCACAACACCTGTTATGATAGTGCCCTCTGCTGATCCTACAAACAATAACCTTAAATTATTGAGTTTCATGTTCCTTTCGATTTTTATTTATTTATCACTTTTAGTATCCTAAACACTATCTCACATGTATAGAATCTAGCCGACTAGCACAACATATGATCTACGGATAGAAATTCAGTAATCGGACTTATAGACATATCTTATATGCTTCGCATGCATATTAGACGGATGCAACTAAGTTGACTGGGATCAGATTGCAGTTGTAAAACATAATCTTTACATTTTTAGGGAAAAAATGGAGGCAATTCAAATTATTATACCCCGAAACAGAGCCAATAAGCTCCATAATACATCCAATTTATTTTTAAATTTTAAGTCAAGTAGCTTTCCAAAACGATTCTGCCATAGAGAAGCATCAAAAAAATTGACCAAGCTTCCACATTTAACAACCAATACTCACTAAACAGGTCCTAATACTGCAGTTAAACTCATATTTTTCCAATTTAACCGAAAACCTTGATATTGTATGACACGTCCAGTCTACAATTGGCCCATTATTCCAACCAAGTTTCCAAATTTAGACAATTCCAATTCCAAATTCAAAAAAAAAACTGAATAAAGACACAAACAATATGAGTGCAAAAATGAAGCAAACACCTCATAAATCGGCGCGGACTCCGATATAGGAAGAAGCTGCACGGAAATTATCAAACAAAATCATATTAAAACCCCATGAATTCGATCCCAAATTCACATCAACAAAACAAAGTAAGATCTTACCTGGGCTTCGCTCGCGAGAATCTCAGCAGCTTCGATGTTGTAGATATCATGATCATCACCAGAGTCCGCCCCTTTCTGCTGCACCAAAATCGGTCAGCGACAAAGAAAGAAAACCCTAACCCTAGAAAAAGCGAAGAAAAGAATCTTACTTTGGAGTCCTCGGGCATTTTGCTTTGCTTTTGTTAGGGTTTCTCTATCATTGGATGAGAGATTTTGTTTCAAGAGGAGTAATTAGGGTTTTTTGGCGGTTTTAAAGACTTGATGGCGGGATCCAACGAGATAATTGTCGGAATCAAAGTGGAGAGAGGAGGAAGAGGATGGTAGGAGTTTTTTTCCATTTAAACCCTTCACTTTATTTTATATTTTAATCTCCACTATTTGTGGTCGATGCATTTGTGAATCTAGTATAAATTAGTAGGATCTGCTAGAAAGCTAAGCCTAGTGACAAAACACAATCCGTCGTCACGTCGGAATTAGACTATTGGGATTAATATACAATATTTTCCAATATTTTTCTTCAAAATATGTTAATTCTATGAATCGCTTTTTCGGGTTAGTTATAGGAAACTCTAATCAATTTTTGGGGAGTTGCAACAAACCCATCAATTTTTTATTACACTAAACCTCTTGAACCTCAGGTGTTGCTGCACATAACTCTCAAAAACTGTTTTATTTTACTAAATTTTATATGAAAATTCTCATTTAATCTCTAAATTAATATCATTGGCTCTAATGTCTAATGTGGCAAGCATGTGCCCAAAAAAAAGATGAAAATAATTATATTGCCCCAAAAAAATTACATATTTTTCCTTTTCAATAAAAGGGTATTTCTTTGGGGGATTATTAAGAAGGAAATTATTAAGAAGGAAATTTCTATCTTTTTGTGATGTGCTTGCGTGTGACATGCTATAGTTGATGGTGCTAGTATTAGGATTAAAAGAGATTTAGTAAAACAAAACAGTTCATAAGAGTTATGTGCAATATCCCTCAAGTTAAGAGGGTTTAGTCTAATAACATAGTTGTTATGGGGTTTATTGCATTCACCAAAAGTTCATGTTGGGTTTTTGTAATTAACCCTTTTTCTATTGCATGTAATATAAGATGAGTCAGCTGCTTATAAGGGTGAGCATTGTTCGGTTCAAAACGACCAAACCGGTCAAAATTTAACAGTTCGGTTCGGTTTTTATTAGAGTTCGGTTCGGGTCGGACTGAAATTTTTTCAACCCGAACCGACCGAGCCGACTGAATTATATAACTCATTCTAATTACTATTTACACCCGTTTAAACTCGACCCATTATAGTTCATATAGAGTTATTTCTCTGCATGTTAATATATTTTTCTCTCACGCGACCTAATAGTGATAAAATACCCAAACAATAGTGTCCTCTCTAATTCTAGGGTTTTTCATTATCTCTAGTTCTCTATCCCTCTCTATTACATATTGCTCCTTCTACTTTGGGCCAATTCACTTTGGAGGTAAGAAACTTAAACCATAATGTTGACTCTAACCTTTTCCTGATTTTTCTCCTCGATTGATACATTTTTGGATCAGACTTCTCTTTGGATCAGACTTATAATTTTATAGAAACTATACCCAACATCCAAGTTATTACATATTTTTTATTTACTTTGTGTATCAGATTGAGATCACTTAAATTCTTTACGTAAGTTTTCTCTAAAAAAAATTATGTAATATTTGGTAGGAATAAGATTTTGATTACTACATCTAATATTCAGTAGCATTTAATAGTTTATAAATTTTAATAAATTGAAGTGTAAGAGACTTTTTCTTCTCAACAGATTAAAGGTGAACTTGAATTTGGACATAACATTTGTACCTAGGTAAAAACCTAAAAAACTAACCCGAACCGAACCGAACCGACTTGAATCGATTCGCTTTGGTTTTGAATGATAGTCAATTCGGTTAGTGTGGCCAATTTTGGCCAAAAACCAAACCGACCGACTAATTGCACAGCCCTAGTTGCTTATAATTATAATAATTAGCTTAGATAAGTACTTTATAAAGTAACTCATATAAGCTGCTAAAAATAGCTATTTGATAATTATATACCACAAGTTGCTAGGTATTTGTATAATTATGCTTAAAGATTATTACAAGTGAAAATGATAATAACACATAATTTTAGCTTCACGTTTATTGATAGTGAAAAACATTGCTAAGAGTTAAATGATACATATGGCGAAAAACTACAAAAAAGAGCGATTATTTTTATAACATTTCTTAGGTTGTTTTTAAAATTACCCTATTAAAAGCAGGAGTAATTTCAATAAGCATGTAAAAAAAAGTTTTACCAATTAACATTATTAATTCTTCTTTAAAATAAGCTGATGTGCAATAATAAAAAAAGGGCTAAAATACCATATTGGTATCTTCAATGGACCATAAATGACAATAAGGCATTTTAAATAGCTCTGACTACAATAAGGCCTTATAATTATTCAAAGGAGACAACAAGGCACATATTTTCATCGAAGATCATTCACTCCGGTCAACTCCCCTCACTTGCTTGACGCGTGATTACTTAGTTGCTGATGTGGCAGGGAGTTGCTGAGTTGGAGAAGGTAGTTGGGAATGTTAAATTAGGGTTCCGATTCATATTTGGGAAAAAAATTTGTGCGCGATTTAGAGCTTAGGGCTTACATAATGAAGAAATACAAGGAGAAATTGTTGATGAGAAAGCAAGGGAAGTTGGTCAGAGCTAGAGTTAGGTTATTATCATTGAAATTGGTTGTTCATTATTCCACAATCAAGCTTGAGCTCAAGTAGTGCGCATTCAAAGTCAAGCATGAGTGGTGGAAAATTTGGCTCGTGGGTAAGTAGTAGCTATGGTTTGAATAGCTTGTCATCCATTCAAAAGTAGAATGAAGAAGCAAAGAGTGTTCGGATGAAGTATTACCATTGTGGAGTAGAATGCAGCTATGACACATCATTCACAGGTAACAATCTTGGGTGAAGGTTTTACCGATGTCAAAAGAGCAAAGTAAGAGTAAGGTTAATATTAAAGTTTTTGTATTGGTTATGTTCTTTCAAATAAATAGAATGGTGGTTACAGATTTTGGGAATGGTTTGATAAAAAGACTTGCAATGTGGATTCTTAGTTACTTCCTCTTCTACGAGATGAAATTATCAGCACGAGGAATGAGTTGAAGTTGATGGAGAGTTTGAGTGCACAAAAAAAGGCCGAGTTGAGGGTTGTCTATAGTGAAAAAGACAAATTTAAAGAAGAGCTCTAGTTGTACTAATATGAAAATGCTTTTTTGGTTGACGAAGTATTTAAATTGAGAGATGAGATATCAAAATTTCAGAGAAACGATGAAACAAAGAAGGAAAATTTGGTGTTTTTAAAGAGAGGAAATATCATACTACTCTTGGTTGTAGTGTTTATGAGTATGTATTTCATTCATCTAAACAATATGGAGATATGATTCGTATATGTTAGATAAATGTTAGTGCTGTTGAAATGATGTATTGTGAAGTTAATGAAATAAGAGATTGGATTTATATTGTTCTGAATGTTTATTGATTATTTTTTGAAAAAAAATTGTCATAATTTATTCTGTTTTCACTTATTTGTTGGTAGTAATACAATGTGCATTATAGTATCCTGTAAAAAGCATCAAATTGAAGCAATATGCGCCCATGTAACATTCATATGCTCAAACTTGAATTTTTGACACCTATATTAACATAATCAACATTCATATGCCAAACAATCTTCAGTTTACAAAATATCATTTGAACAAACTTCATACATTGCTAAAACGAAATTCAGACACAAAAAAGAATACATAAGTAGACATGTCATGTGGTTGGTGCATTTGAAGCTTGTGCTTGCACTTGGCTTGCATATGTGGTTGATGTTTGAGTAGAACCATGTAGGATTGTTGCTTCATTTGCAGTAGAATCTATATATGCAATTTCACCATGATCACCATACCATAGACCATATCCCTCTGGCACCCTAATGTCATTGGTTCTTCCTTTGGCCCTGCCTCTTCCTCTTCCTATATTATTTCCTCCTCTGACAGCTTGTGTTTGAGACTCAACTACACAATAAAAAATAACATTAGTATAAGTAGAATAGAAATTTCATGTTATAATTTGATTTTAACAATATCAATTACCTCTGGCCCTTGCTCTATTGGTTATATACATTTGTGTTGCTGGAATAGAGTTTGTCCTTGAAAGATCTTCAATAGCAGTAATAATCCTTGTCTTACTTCCTTTTGGTCTCCCTCTTTTCCTTCTTTCAAATGTGCCCTCTTCAGCAGCTTGATTCTAAGATCACTGAAATTGACATTTAAAATTAGATGATAATAATTTGATAATGTTAAGAACTCTAATGAAATAATATTCATGCACCTATATTACCTGTTGATTTGCTGGTCTTGGAGGAACTGGTGGCGCATTAGGATAATTTGGCATTCTATGCTCACCTAAACCACAATGACTGCATTTTTTTGACAACCCATGCATTGATCTTCTAAATGAATTTCTAGATCCTTCACTAGCATCTCTCCTCCTAGCTATTTTAGGTCTCCCTTTAGCCTGCTTCACAATATTAGGAGGCAATATCATCTCCTCCCCCTCTTTGTCCCAAAACTTATTATCTTGTATAGGGTTCATGTTCTTTCCAAACACGACCATATAGTTCTCCACATCATAAAATTTTGATAAAAAAATTTTCAGGTCTCTTTCTCATTTTTAGGATAGCACTAATAGCATGTGTGCAAGAAATTCCTGTTAAATCCCGGTTCTAAAAGAACATGTCCTTTCTGTCAAATTAACATGATGGCTCATCCCTCTATGTTTTATTTCAAAATCAGTCTCATCATGGTTACCATTCCAATTCACTTCACAAAGAGTTTGCTCATTATATGCTTCTGTTAATTTTTTTCTGAATTATTGATGCAACACCATCAACAAATTTAGGTATAAGCTTAAGTTTTTCTTGCATTCTATCCAACAAAGCTAATCTAATGTCCTCCAACATAGAAACAATAGGTTTATATCTTGCAAGAAGTATGAAAGAGTTGAATGTTTCAGCCATATTATTCTCTATGCTATCACACTTACGATGACATTTGAAATGAGACTTACAAAAGGTGTGAGGGTCTCTAGCCATAAAGCCTTCATAAGCTATCTCAGATAGCCTCCTTAGCTTAGCAATCTTATATGCAAATATCGGCACTGAAGTTGCTTTAACACATGCCCAGAACTACTTTTGAAGTACTCTGCCACCATGTGTTTTCCTCCAATTAGAATATATGTGCCTAGCACATTGTCTATGTTCAACTTCTAGCCAAACCTCA